CACCACTTCCAGTTTTCTGGTGGTTCATTGGAGATAGGAGTCTCACAGCTTTGAAAAACCATGATCCTCAGATCTCCTTGAGGATTAAAGGCGTGAGCCACTGGCGCCTGGCCCCATCGCTTTTCTTGACTGCTTCCTTTGCTTCCCCTCTGGTTCCTTGAGCCCTCCAAGTCAGGCTCAGAGAGATTCCTCAGGAGACAGTGATCAGGATCTGGCTATGGGAGAGCCCATGTGGTTTGTCATGGGGTTGGCAGGCCTATCTTCCATGGCCAGTCCCCTGTATGGAATGTCTAGACTAAAAATCTGTCCAGATGAACCCCCCCGCCCCCATCTTTCCCCGGGGGAAGGTACACGTGGATTGGAACAATAGCTTGAGGCCAAAATCTGCAAGGATTCTCACACACCGATGATCTTAGTCTAGGCAACCCTGAAATTAGCCACCTGTCCACCTCCCTGCTGTCTGACCTGTCATGCAAGGGCTTAGCTCTCGTCACCCAGGGCAGGAGTCATATCTAGGGGTCTCTGGGACACTGGGACCTCCCCAACCCTCTGGGTGCTGATGGCCATTTCCACATGCTATAGGCTTCCCGGATTTGGCAGGAACTCGAGGCTGAGGAGGAGCTGGTGCCTGAGGGCCCTGGGACCCTGGGTCCCTGGGGGCCCCAAGACTGGGTGGGCCCTCCACCGCATGGCCCTACCACAACTGATGAGGGCTGCCTCCGGTACTTTGTCCTGGGCACCGTGGCAGCCTTGGTAGCCCTTGTGCTCAACGTGTTCTATCCTCTGGTGTCCCAGAGTCGCTGGAGATGAGCTTACCTGCAGGCAGCTGCTATGAGCTGATCCACCTGCCTGCCTGCCTGCCAGGCCATGCCTGCCTTTGTGGTGGGAAGGAACTACTCTGGGCTTTGGGCCTCGGTGTATGCATCTGGTGGGAGAGTGTCGGGGACTGTGGCCTCTGCAGGGGCAGAGCATCCGAGGGTGGATACCCATCCAGCTGTCTGTTCATTCCTCCTGCTGCTCTGACCCTTGGCCTAGGGCTGAGCCCAGCTGGAGCTACTTCCTGTATTTAAAGTGTTAATAAAGTGAGACTATTCAGGCCCAATCTTGTCTCTCTGTCTCAATGCTGCTATCTGCGCCTGCCTCGGGGCCCTCCCTTGGGTGCCAGGGCTCTGAACCAGCACCCCCGGGAAGCCAGGCAGCATGCTGACCCCTGTCCTCATATTCTGTTGCAGGGACTAGGCCCTGGCCAGGCCCCCGAGGTGGCCCCCACGCGGACAGCCCCTGAACGCTTCGCCCCCCCTGTGGACCGCCCAGCCCCCACCTACAGCAACATGGAGGAGGTCGATTAGCAGGTCCCTGGCTGATGGAGGGACTGGGTTCGGGGTTTCCCTGAAGAGGGCCATTTCTTTGTTACTTCTTCTCTAACCCAGGAGACATTGGCTCCATCAGTGGGAAGTTGGGAGGGGGGGAACGATTTGGGACTGGGGACCTCACAAGTTGTGATCTTTTAGCTTGGTCCCCTGACCAGTGGGTCTTGTCTTCTCCAGCTGCCTCCAGTGCTGCGTAATTTGATTCTCAGTTGTATCTTCAATTCTTTCTGACTCGCATTATAAACGTTATAATTTTATTCTAAAAATTGTAATTTTTTTTGCATTTTGGAAGTGATTGCTGCTGTTTAAATATATTTTAAAAAATAAATAATAAATAAGCAGACTTAGTGACTGATCCACCACATCCTACCTTCCCTCCCTCTCCATCATCTAGTGTTTGTGTATCTCTGTGTTAAAGGCCTCAAGAGTGCTTGAGTCTGAGAGAAAATGGCAGTCACAGTTCATCCCCTGGAGTCAGGATGTCCCTGGTGTCATCAGCTCTCCCGAGCCTGCCTACTGCCCTGTTATCTCTCAATGATTTTGGGTACCACATGAAGGTAGTAGTTGGAGGTTGGTATCACCAAGAAGACCTTAGGCTATCCCAGGGATGCCTCACTGCCTTCACTTTTCCTCCCTTCCTCTCTGGAACTGTAGGCATGGGGTGAAAGGTTCAGGCTACTGGAGTAGTCTGGGGCTGACAGCAGATCAGGGAGGACTTGATGGGGGATAAGAAGGTGCTCATATAAGAAGCTTGCCTTTGGATAGGCTGTTCCCTCTCCTTTTCAATTGTTTGCTAGTAATGTGGGCATCTTTAAATAGACAGAGCTAAGATAACACTGATCAGTGTTGACTTGCTCTAGTAAGGACAACATTGAAGCCAGGTGGAGTTGTTGGCTGAGGAAATGGGCTTGGAGAACTGGGGTGGTGGCATCTTGCATAAATGGACATACCTATGTGCTGATGCTGGTGGCTGTGACTGATGTACTGCCTGCTAGGGATGGGCTGTAACAGGACTGTGCTGGGTCTTTTGTGTATGCAGCCCCCTCCTTGGGTGTATGTGTGTGGGGGCAGGGAGAGTTTAGTGGAGATAAGAGTCTCATGAATCTGTCTGCCTGGGCTGGCTTTGAACTGCAATCCTCAAATCTCAGCTTCCTGAGTAGGATTTACAGGTGTGACCCACCGGTACCCGATTTATGCAGTCCTCTTAATGCTAAGCCCATAACCTTATACCTTTCTGGGGCATCTGCATAAAGTTGCTGTGGCCTCTAGTACCATGGCCCTCTGCTGTCCCAGGGATTTGTCCATAGGTCTGACTATGGAATCCCACCCCATGCCAGAAAGGGTCTTAGGGAGTTGGGTATCTATCAGTGGTTCACACCTGTAATCCTAGCTACCCAGAAGGCTTAGATCTGAAGATCTCAGTTCAAAGCCAGCCTGGGCAGGAAAGTCCATGAGACTCTTAACCATCAAAAAGCTGGAAGTGGGGCTGTGGCTCAGGTGATATAGCACCTGTCTTGGGCAAAAAGCTAAGGGACAGCCAGAGCCTGAGTTCAAGTCCCAGTCTCAAAACACACACACAGGGGTGTGGGTCTTAATTGGCTTCTTTCCTTGGTCATTTTCTTTTTTTTGGGGGGGGGGTCTGGTCGTGGGGCCTGAGCTCTGGGCCTGGGCGCTGTCCCTCAGCTCTTCAGCTCAAGGCTAGTGCTCTACCACCTGAGACACAGCGCCACTTCCGGCTTTTTTCTTTTTGCTTATGTGGTGCTGAGGAATCGAACCCAGTGCCTCAGGCATGCAAGGCAAGCACTCTACCACTGAGCCACCTTCCCAGCCCTCCTTGGTCATTTTCAAATAGGCTGAGTCTATAGAACTTCACACTTCTGCTCTGTGCAAGTCATATGGTTCCAGGGACTTCCTAGTCATCTACTGTTAATCTGCTACCACCACTAACGACTTGCTTGATGGCCCCAGTGGACCTACTGAAACTTCCTGTTACATGGAGCTCTAGGACCCACATGAGGGAACCAAGGAAGGGAGCACAGGCTCTGAACCCAGAGATAGAACCATTGCCAGACTTGCAGGATTTGATGATGGTGGTGATCATGTTTCAATGAATCCTTGAAAGTGACACCAGGTACTGAGGGATCAGTGGCAGTAGCAGGCACTTTGTATTGCTCTCTCTGCTCTTCATAGGCACATTGTGTTGGGCGAGGCCTCTGCAGCCACAATTGGCACAGGACTAGAACTGTGGCTCTGCTTCTTGGTACTGATACTACCATTACTCTGCATTTCCTACACATAGCCTTTATAATCCAGTCCATTCTAGGACTGAGCATCAGGCTGGGACTATGGGCCAAAGACTATGGAGAGGTAGGAAGCCCCAGAACACAGGATTGGATCTGGATACTTAATGTAGCATTTGGCTCTGGACAGAACCTAGCATGTATTCATATGTGAGACCAGGTGTAAACCCATTTGAAATTTGGGTTGTTGTTGGAATGTGAGCACAAAGGATATAGGATATGGTTTAATGGCCTAATCAAACTCCTGTCTAATCCTTAAAGACCAAGAAGTATGGATGATATCAAAACTTTCTAGAAGGCTGGGCACTGGTGGCTCAAACTTGAAAGCCTGTAACCCTAGCTACTCAGGAGGCTGAGATCTGAAGATTTGAGGTTCAAACCAACCCAGGACAGGAAAGTCCCCATGAGACTCATCTCCAATTATCCATTCAAAAACAGGAGGTGGCACTGTGGCTCAAAGTGGTACATGGCTAGCCGTGAGCAAAAAAGATAAGGGACAACAAGTGTCTAAGCCCTGAATTCAAGCCCCACAAGCACAAAAAAACAAAACAAACCTACTTCCACAGCCTGAGATCCAGTCCTGCATTTGACATTTGCTCACTGTCTCTCACCTTTGATTGAAAGAACAATGTTCCGTGTTAGCATGCATATTCTAGAAGTTCAGAAAAATTTAAGGGAGACATTTCTATCCCAACCTCCCAGTCCTCCTCCTAAATTTGCCTTTTCTTTTTGGTGAGATCTGAATGCTTTGGCAATAATGGCAAACGTGGCACAAGACCTTATTATTATTTTTTTTAATCACAAGGTATCACTAATGTTACCCAGGCTGGTTTCCAATCCACCACCCCTCTGGCTTCAGCTTCTGGAATAGCTGCGATTAACAGGCACAACGGAGATCTCCCCGGGACTCCGTTCGCTTCCCCGTTTCCATGACAATTCAGAAGCTGTGACGTAAAAAAGGCGCGACTAGAATTTTAAATCTGCTGCTCCCCAACAGCCTTGGGTCAACGACCCAAGTCCAGGAGCCAAAGGCCACCTGCCACGTCTTCACCTGCCTCCTTACTGTTATTATTTTCTCTTTAGGTCCAAGACAAATCTATATTCCCAAAGAACCTATCCCTTTCATTACCCGAGACGGCGACCACGAAGACGGAAGGACTGGACCTGAAAGGACTGGTTCTTCTGCTCTGTCCCTTAAATGGCGTCGACCAGCTGAGGGTCCCGCCCCCTTTCAGCAGAGGACGGTTACTATTGGCTCTCCCTGAAGGCTTCGTGTTCTGATTGGTCAGCGGGGCGAATCTCGTGGCGTAGCTTCAGTCAGGGCTTCTTTTGGTTTCCGGTGTTCCTGCCATGGCGGTCCCTGACTCTCTGACGCTTTTCACGGGCCTCGGCCTGAGCGAACACAAGGCTCGAGAGACACTCAAGAACACGGCTCTGAGCACGCAGCTGCGTGAGGCGGCGACCCAGGTGAGTGCGCCCCTGCCCTGGCCCTGGATGTTGGTTCTATCCCCAAAGTAGCGTGGGGGGCCGGGTCCAGATGGCGCCCTGCTCCCCTTCCAATCCCTTGGACTCCAGGCGCAGCAGACTTTGGGCTCTACCATCGACAAGGCTACCGGGACTCTACTGTACGGTTTAGCTTCCCGTCTCAAGGATACGCAGCGTCTTTCTTTTCTCGTGAACTACATAGCCAGTAAGAAGATCCACACAGAACTGCAGCTGAGCGGTGAGACCCCTGTCTAGAGTGCCAGTTCTACTTCCAGTCCATCCCTTCAGCCAAGACTTCCGTCTGCCTCCCCCCCCACCCCCCAACCCCAAGTCCTCCAGTTTCTTTCTGAACACCTAGTTCTGGATAAGCACTAAGACATGGTGTGTGTGTGTGGGGGGGGGGTGGCCTCTGTGAATATTCACGTTGAGCAGCCTCCCCTGGAGGCATTCGGACTCCTATCTAGTGGGCTTAATCTCCCTGGAGGCCAAACTGAATTTGAAGTTTGACTGGATTAAGACAACTAGTCTACCCCACCTCTTGGAGCTGAGATGCCCTAAAGTCCTTGCCTCTCTCCTTTCTTAGCTGCACTGGAGTATGTACGAAGTCATCCTCTGGACCCCATCGACACTGTGGACTTTGAGCAGGAATGTGGTGTGGGTGTCATAGTGACCCCAGAGCAGATTGAAGAGGCTGTAAGTTTTTCCAGGCATCAGGTGTCCCTCTAAGTTCTGGCCCTCGAAAGGAGTGGTTCAGCTTCTTGGTCCAGGAGGACTCCGGGTGAGGGTGTGGGTCCCTAGAATTTGTCTGAAAGGACTTCCTGAAGCATGTGTTTTGGCTTTTCACAGGTGGAAGTCACCATAAATAGGCACCGGCCCCAGCTCCTAGCAGAGCGTTATCGGTTCAACATGGGGTTGCTGATGGGTGAGCAAACCTGGGGAAGGAAGATGTGTTCTCCTTGGTCATAAGTGAGAGTGAATAGGGGAAGGAGCAGAAGCGCCTTAAAAGTATACTGCCTGGGTGTAGGCATGGATTCCTGTGGTCAGCTAGGACTTTTCCTTGGGGAGGAGGGGAAGGAGTGTCCTTTTTTGCCTTTTGCAGCTTCTTGTGCCCATGCTCCTAGGAGAGGCCCGGGCTGCGCTCAAGTGGGCAGATGGCAAAATGATCAAGAATGAAGTAGACATGCAGGTGGGCACCTCCCTGAGCGGAATCAGCTGGCAAAGACTTGGCAAGGACAGAGCCTGGAATCTACTGCGGGATAAAGGGGGGAGGAAAGTCTGTTCTAATGGTCAAGGGGTCAACACCTGATTTGCACTGTAGGTTGATCCTAATTTGTGATGAATCATTTAACTCTGAATCTCAATAGAATCATCCCCCAAACAGGGATGATATGTATGGCCTTTATCTCAGGATAATAGACTCGCTGGAGGATAATGGCTGAGGTAGATGCTTATCTTGATGTTAGGACCACAGTTCTCTGTAAATGACAGTTCTTGTTACTTGGCCACAATGTGGATCCTCAGAAAGGAGAAGCATTTGAGGCAGCAGCATGAGGAGTTGAGATAGGATGAGCTAAGTGGGTTATTCTGGATGCTGATAGGCCACAAAGTACTTGAGTGAGTGAGTGAGTAAGTGAGTACGACCAATCAGGGAAATCCTCGAAGGAGCATAGTTCTGTTCCTCCCTGACTCTTGTCTCTGTGTAGGTCCTCCACCTTTTAGGTCCCAAGGTGGAGGCTGATTTGGAGAAGAAACCCAAGGTGAGGATGGATATCACCCCAGTTGCTGGTGGTGAGGTGGGGCAGGGTGAGACTTCAAACTGGGGAATGGAATGTCTGACCTTGTCCAGAGGTGATGCTGGTGTGATTTCACTGTTTCCTTTAGGTGGCAAAAACAAAGCCAGAAGAAACAGACCGGAGGAAAGCAAAAGATACGGAGAATGGTGAGAAGCCTAAGGCTTCTGTTGCATTCAGCTCTTGACTAATGGGAGTTCCCTTTGAAGGGGCCTTATAGCATAGTTTCCTAAAGTTCTTAGCTTATTCAACACTTTGCCTTCTGCCCCAAGATTGAGTTTTTTTCTTTGTGTTTTTTAGGGGGGGGCTTGAACTCAGGGACTGGCCCTGTCCCTGAGCTCTTTTCCTAAAGGCTAGCACTCCTACTACTTGAGCCACAGCTCTACTTCAGGTTTTCTGGTGGTTAATTGGAGACAAAAATCTTTACTTTCTTGGTCTGCTTGCTCAGTTGGCTTTACTACTTGAGCCATGTCTCTAGCCTTGCTTTTTGGCTTTTTTTGTTGTTGTTGTTGGTCGTGGGACTTGAACTCTGGGCCTGGGTACTGTCCTTCAGCTGTTCAGCTGAAGAGTAGTGCTCTGCCACTTGAGCTACAGCGCCACTTCCTGTTTTCTGGTGGTTTATTGGAGATGAGAGTCTCATGGACTTTCCTGCCCAGGCTGACTTTGAACCTCGATCCTCAGATCTCAGCCTCCTGAGTAGCTAGGATGACAGGCATGAGCCTGTCTGGTCTGGCATCAACCTACCATCCTCCTAATTTTAGCCTCTTGAGGTATGAGCCATTGGCATCAAGCGCTAGAGTTTGTTTCATAATCTTTGGGCAAAGACCAGTCTAAGAGGCCTGATAAATCCAGGTCTATATCTCGTCCCTCTGGAATATAGAGAAAAGGAGCCTGTTTATATCTGTTCTGGATAGTTGAAAGAAAAAAAAAAAAAGAAAGTATTGATGGATAGTAGCAATAGGTACCTTTTTGAGCTGGATATGGGGTAGCTAAATCCAGAGGATAAATTTTTCTTGGTTTCTTCCCAAAAGGAGATGCTGTTGGCCAGACCCTGTCTCTGATGGAACAGCTCCGAGGGGAGGCCCTTAAGTTCCACAAGCCTGGTAAGTAGATATGTTGGATCCCTGATTCATGGCAATGATTCCTGTAGCCAGGACCCTTGGGGTCAAGGACTTGGGCCACCACCTAGCCTCACTTCAGATTTTGTCCTGATGTTGGCAGGCGAGAACTACAAGACTCCAGGTTATGTGACCACCCCACATACCATGGATCTACTGAAGCAGCACCTGGAGATCACTGGAGGACAGGTTTGTGGGGATGTGGGCTGGCAAGCTAGTATTTGGGCCAGCTCCATACTGACATATCTTATTTGTGATTGTGGTCTCTCTGGGAAGGGGCATCTTTTTCTTTAAGATGATCTGAGCTCTGACATTATTTCTCTCTGCTCATGCCATGATTGCAGGTACGGACCCGGTTTCCCCCAGAACCCAATGGAATCCTGCACATTGGACATGCCAAAGCTATCAATTTCAACTTTGGTTATGCTAAGGTGAGTTTTCCAGGATGCTGGTAAGCAAGGTGACTTGGCTACTGCCATGACTGGCGCTAGACAGGAATCTTTACCTCTGATAATGTTCCTGATGGGTGGGCACAAGCCATAGGGAGAACCACACGGATAGGATCAATACCTACAAATACATTGGACTAGCTGAGAAAAAACTCTGGAAACCCTGGAAAGACTGTGTTGTCTGTTCTAAGTCAGCTTTGTGTGTGTGTGTGTGTGTGTGTGTGTGTGTGTGTGTGTGTGTGTGTGTGTGTGTGTCTGTCTGTCTGCCTGCCTGCCTGCCTACCTGCCTGCTGGTCCCGTGGTTTGAACTCTGGGCCTGAGTATTGTCCCCTGACCTTATTTGCTCTACTACTTTCTGACCTTTCTGGAGGTTAATTGGAGAGAAGAGTCTCCCAGGCTGGTGTCAAATCACAATCCTCAGATCTCAGCCTCCTGAGTAGCTAGGATACAGGCGTGAGCTACCAGTACCCAGCTTTGTTTTTGTATTTGAGACAGAGTCTTGCTGTTTCAGACTGGCCTCTTAACTTGCTACCTTCCAGCGTGAGCCTCCCAAATGCTGGGATTACAGGGGTGAACCACCTCTCCTGGCTCATCTGAGGAATTTAGATACAATAAGAGATGTTTTTAGGCTGGGAAGGTGGCTTAGTGGTAGAGTGCTTGCCTAGCATGCATGAAGTCCTGTGTTTGATTCCTCAGTGCCACATAAATAGAAAAGGCCAGAAGTGGTGCTGTGGCTCAAGTGGTAGAGTGCTAGCCTTGAGCAAAAGAAGCTCAGGAACAGTGCTCAGGCCCTTTGTTTAAGCCCCAGGACTGGCCAAAAAAAAAGGAGAGATGTTCTTGAAGGCATTTCAAGTACAACTTGTCAGTGGAACAGGAAGGAAAAACGGAGAGAGTGAGGAAAGGGTGACATTGTCCAAAAAGAAATGCACTCATTTACCTAACTTATGGTCATTCATGGGGCATGAACTCTGGACCTGGGTGCTGTCCCTCAGCTCTTCAGCTCAAGGCGAGTGCTCTACCACTTGAGCCACAGCACCACTTCCAGTTTTCTAGTGGTTAATTGGTGATAAGAGTCTCATGGACTTTGCTGCCCGGGCTGGCTTTGAACTGGATCCTCAGATCTCAGCCTCCTGAATAGCTAGGATTACAGGCCTGAGCCACTGGCCCCTGGTTATAACACCTTTATAATAATAAAAAAAAAGTTAAAAAACAACAGCAACTGGGGGGCTGGGAAGGTGGCTCAGTGGTGGAATTCTTGCCTCACATGCATGAAGCCCTGTGTTCGATTCCTCAGCACCACATACACATAAAAGGCTGGAAGTGGTGTTGTAATTCAAGTGGTAGAGTGCTAGTCTTGAGCTGAATTGCTGAGGGACAGCGCCCAAGCTCAGAGTTCAAGCCCTACTACCAACAAAAAACTATTTGGTGCTGGAGATCAAAAAAATAAATAAATGAAAGCATGTTTAATTCTGACACAAGAGAGCTCCTATGAGCTAGACTGTAGGGGCTGATGGCTATGTAGGAACTCACAGATATTCCAACTCTCCTAGGCTAACAATGGTATCTGTTTTCTGCGCTTTGATGACACCAACCCTGAGAAGGAAGAAGCAAAGTTCTTCACTGCTATCTCTGACATGGTAGCCTGGCTGGGTAAGAACTAGATGATGCCTGGGCAGGGCCTGGTGATCAGTGTCTCTCCTTGGCTGATAGCCTTGCCATTGAGTGCTTTGTTGCTGATTGTTTACACTGTGTGTGTCATACGGTCCCAGGGTACACCCCTTACAAAGTGACGTATGCTTCTGACTATTTTGATCAGCTGTATGCCTGGGCTGTGGAGCTCATTCACAGGTAAGATCAGAGTCATAATAATGTTGATCCAAACAAGCTGCAGGTCAGGGACAGCCTGAGCACTAATAGACAACTCTTGTCTCCACAGGGGTCAGGCTTATGTGTGTCATCAGCGAGGGGAAGAACTCAAAGGTCATAACCCTCTTCCTTCCCCCTGGAGGGACAGACCTATTGAGGAATCACTGCTGCTCTTTGAGGTGGGATCCTGGAAGGGTCAGCTGGGTTTGGGTGGGCTTTACTAGGCATGAGCTTCCCCTTGTGGTTAGAGGCAGCCTGAGCCCTTGCTACCCTCAGGCCATGCGCAAGGGCAAGTTTTCCGAGGGGGAGGCCACACTTCGGATGAAGCTGGTGATGGAGGATGGCAAGATGGATCCTGTAGCCTATCGAGTCAAATATACCCCCCATCACCGCACAGGGGACAAATGGTGAGTATGGGCAAAGGCGTGGGATCAGTGGAGCAGTGGAGCTGGTGGTGGTGGGCCATGAGTTAGGGCAGAGGAGCTAGATTGTAGGGCCCACCGCCTGTACCCCACAGGTGCATCTACCCCACTTACGACTACACACACTGCCTCTGTGACTCCATTGAACACATCACCCACTCACTCTGCACCAAGGAATTCCAGGCCCGGTGAGTTTGCTGGGACCATGGGATGTGGGTAGGGCCAATGCAATTCCAGCAGCCCTTCCTACAGTCTCTTCTCTGGTCTCAGAGGTGGTCATTTCTAGCTCTCCTCTTCCAACCACCCTAGACGATCTTCCTACTTCTGGCTATGTAATGCACTGGACGTCTATTGCCCTGTTCAGTGGGAGTATGGCCGCCTCAACCTCCACTATGCTGTTGTTTCTAAGAGGAAGATTCTCCAGCTCGTAGCAACTGGTGCTGTGCGGTAAGTGGCAGGTTACACTAGCTGAGTGGCTCATGTCTGTAATCCTAGCTACTTAAGTGGCTGAGATCCGATGATCATAGTTTGAAGTTAGATCTAGTTAACTACCATAAAGCTAGTAGTGGAGCCTGTAGCTCACTGGTAGAGTACTGGCCTTGAGCATAAAAAGCTGAAAGACAGCCAGCTGCTAATGGCTCTTGCCTGTAATCCTAGCTACTCAGGAGTCTGAGATCTGATGATGGTAGCTTGAAGCTAGTCCTGGCAGAAAAGTCTCTGTGAGACTTTTATCTCCTATTAACCCCTCAAAGACCAGACATAGTGCTGTGGCTCAAAATAGTACAGTGCTAGCCTTAAGTAAAAGTCTAGAAGGGTCTTGTCCAAGCCTTTCACATTTCACATCAATCTCCCCCCCCTTCACCCCCCCTCCCCAATCTTGGGCTTGGACTCAGGGCCTAGGTGCTGTCCCTGAGCTACTTTTGTTTAAAGTGAGCACTCTACCACTTGAGCCACAGCACCACTTCTGGCCTTTTCTGTGTATGTAATGCTGAGAAATCAAACCTAGGTCTTCATGCATGCTAGGCTAGCAGTCTACCACTAAGCCACCTTCCCAGCCCTCCCATCACCTCTTTTTATCCACAGGGACTGGGATGATCCCCGGCTCTTCACACTCACAGCGCTGCGACGGCGTGGCTTTCCACCCGAGGCCATCAACAACTTCTGTGCCCGAGTACATAGCCCATGGGGCTGGGTGGGTAGATTAAACAATTTCCCGTTACAGTTGTGATTGTAGTTGTGCATGCGGAACTCTTCTTGCCAGGTGGGGGTGACAGTGGCTCAGACCACAATGGAGCCACATCTTCTGGAAGCCTGTGTGCGTGAGGTGCTCAATGACACAGCCCCACGAGCCATGGCTGTGCTAGAGTCCCTAAAGGTTGTCATCACCAACTTCCCTGCTGTCAAGGTGGGCCTGCCTCCGTGTGTGTGTGTGTGTGTGTGTGTGTGTGTGTGTGTGTGTGTGTGTGTCTGTTTGTCTGTCTGTCAGGGCATGGGGCTCCAAATGCCTGGTACAACTCAAGATATGTGTCTCCTGTTATATAGCCCTTGACCGTCCAGGTGCCCAACTTCCCAGCTGATGAGACCAAAGGCTTCCACCAGGTTCCTTTTGCATCCACTGTCTTCATTGAGAAGACTGACTTCAAGGAGGTGAATAGCAGTCAGAAGGTCCTGTTTTGCTGCTCTGTCTGACCCCAGAGTTCTTTTCATTTCCTCAGCCCTTCTGTCAATCCACCTCCTCCCTGCTTCACGTGAACTGATCCTCCATCCACCATAGGAGAATGCCTCCTGCTTGTCTACCCCTTCTAGCCTCCTGTCTCCCTCTCACTTCCTACCTCTAGGAGCCAGAACCAGGCTATAAGCGCCTAACCTGGGGCCAGCCCGTGGGCCTGAGACACACAGGCTATGTCATTGAGCTGCAGCATGTTAGCAAGGTGAGAGGCAGCTACTGCCTTCCTGCCGCAGTGCCTGCTGGGTTGTGATGCATCATTGCCCACCTTACTGGTGGGTGGCTCCCCAGTCTGATTGCAAGCTTCCCCACTCTCAGGGTCCCAATGGCTGTGTGGAGTGCCTAGAGGTCACCTGCAGACGGGCTGATACTGGAGAGAAGCCCAAGGCCTTTATTCACTGGGTGTCAGAGCCTCTGATGTGCGAGATTCGCCTCTATGAGCGATTGTGAGTGACCAGCGCTGGAGCGGTGGAAGGGCAGACAGGAGATGGGCGTTGCCTGCTATGGCTGCCCAGCTGGGGAATTTGATGTTTCTCACTCTGACTGTAGATTCCAGCACAAGAATCCTGAAGATCCTGCCGAGGTGCCTGGTGGATTCTTAAGTGATGTGAACCCGGTAGGCTCACTGTGTGCGTGCGTGTGCGTGCATGCGCGTGCACATGCGATCGGACTGGTGGGTGAGGGGAGAGGTCTTCCCTAGCTGGATAGTTGCCTGAATTCTCTGCCTACAGGCATCACTACAAGTGGTGAAGGCAGCGTTAGTGGACTGCTCTGTGGCCCTGGCAAAGCCTTTCGACAAGTTCCAGTTTGAGCGCCTTGGGTACTTCTCCGTGGATCCAGATAGCCGCCAAGGACAGGTGCTGGATTTAGTACTCCCAATCCCTTCCCCCTTATTGCAACTGTAATGGTGGATGCTGTTTACTGTGCTAAGCATTCCGCTTACATCCATTTAATCAGTACCAACCTCAGTGGGGTGGGGGCATTCACATTCTATTGATAAGGAAATTTATTAAGAAGTTAAATCTATGCACAAAGCTTGCTTTTGGTTTTGGTGTTTTGTTAGTCATGGGGCTTGAATCTGGGCTGGGGCCCTGTCCCTCAGCTCTTCAGCTCAAGGCTAGTGATCTACCACTTGAACCACAGTGGGCCACTTCTGGTTTTCTGATAGTTAATTGGAGATAAGAGTCTCATGGACTCTCCTGCCATGCATGGCTGGCTTTGAACTATGATCCTCAGTTCAATCGTCAGCCTCCTGAGGATTACAGGTGTGAGCCACTAGTGCCCAGCTTATGTGTTTTTTGTTTTTTTGCCAGTCTTGGGGCCTGGGCACTGTTCCTAAGCTGCTTTTGCTCAAGGCTAGCACTCTACCATTTGAGTCGCAGTGCCACTTCTGGCTTTTTCTGTTTGTATGGTGCTGAGGAATCGAACCCAGGGCCTCATGCATGCAAGGCTAGCACTACCACTGAGCCACCTTCCCAACCTCACTTCTGGATTTTTCTGTTTATGTGGTACTAAGAAATCAAACTCAAGGCTTCATGCATGCTAGGCAAGCACTCTACCACTAAGCTACATTCCCAGCAACTATAACAATTAAAAAACAACAACAACAACAACAAAACCTCTATTAGCACTATATTAGTTGTACTGGAGGAGTTTCATTGTAACATTTCTATACATTTATACCATCAACCTTTCTTCTTTTGCCCTCCAGCTTGTCTTCAATCGAACTGTCACACTAAAGGAGGACCCAGGAAAGATGTGAACTTGGAAGCGTTATGGATCTACCTCATCCTGGAGATTGGGGGTGCCATCATCACCCTCTCCTCCATGTCAATAAACAATAGCTGAATGCCCCTGTGGTCTGTGTGTTGTCTGCCACTGTAGCATCTGTGGGCCCTGAACTCGTGCTGGGGGAGAAATGGGGCTGCTTGTGCATCTATTGACTGAATGGGCTTAGAACAGATGGGCACTGACCCCTTTGAAATCACTGATGTATTTCTTGGATCTCTAGAACAAGGGGCCTGGGTGGTATTCCTGTTTTCTGGAGGACCTGGGGGCCCTGGAGGTATTGATTCCCTTTTGGAATCAAAAGATATAGGATGTTTATGTCCATCTCCATGTCTGTGGTCCTCCAGCAGATAACTGTCTAGTATGTGCCAGGCACCGAGAGATGAGGTTATAAATAGTGTGTCTGAGGTGGTCCTTCAAAGTTCATGCAGAAACTGGGAGAGGTCTTGGAAGAGGATCCTAACTCCGCATGGGTCTTAGCCTGGATTTGCTCTCAGGAAATGACTTGTAACACAATGGACAGTTTTGCCCAGACAAGAGGATCAAGTGGAAGGTTCTAAGGGTCTCCAATAAGCTGCTGCTGGTTCTCTCAGGTAGTGTGGGCTGCAGGTGAGTGCCTGCAGCTTTAATGACTTCCACATTTTCCCTGTGTACAAACATCAGGCTGCCTGAGGCCCGCTTTAAGGTGGAGCTGATTCTCGAGAGCAGAGCTCAGGAGGCAGCGGATGGCGAACATCCCAGAGGTTGGGTTCTTCCAGGAGGTGAACGATCCAGGAGATTCCCAGGTGGGGGGTACAGCTGGGAAGGCTGGGACCAGGTTCAGGGGTTGTGGGGGGCCACCTTAAGCCTGAGATCGAACTGAGCCGGGCTCCGCCCCTCGTGAAGCAGTGCGACCAAAGGAGGCTCTAGCGGGCAGTGGAAGGTGGGTCTTGAAAGCTCAAGCCCTGCCAGGGGTTCCCCCCCCACTTCTTCCCCTCCACCCCTGCTAGGCTAAACTCCAGCCCTGGCTCCGCCCCGGCGGGGGGGGGGCGCCGGTGGGCGGGGCGTCCGGGCCGACACCGCCGGGGATCCGTCCTGCGCCCCAGCATCTCGAGGCGCGGCCTCCCCTCCCGGTCTCAAAGCGTTCCCTTTAAGCTTGGCCGGCAGGAAAGCCTCAGCTCTCGCGGGATCGGGTGCTGCTATTCTCGCGAGAGAAGTATTCGGCACCCATTGGCTGTGAGGGTTGAATGTAAGATGGCGCCTAGGGAGCTGTGAGGAGAAAATCCTGTCGGTCTTGGAGCGGCGGACGGCAGAACCGGGGCCCCCGGGGCGGTGCGGCGGGGCCGGCGGGTGTAGCGGAGGCGGCGGCGGCGGTGACGTCGCCGGGTGAGGGCTCCGGTGGGGGCCGGGGAAGGTGGTGAGGCTGCGGGGCCTGGGACAGCGGCCCACCCCACACAACGGCGGGCGGGCGGGCGGGCGGGGGCGGGCGGGCCGCGGCCGCCGGGCCCTGGAGACCTCGGGGCGGCTCCGCGGCGGAGAACGTCCCCGGGCCCGCGAGCCCCCGCCCCGGGGTGGGGGAGGGGCGGGCCCGGGATTTGGGTGGGCGCGGCGCGTGCGCGTGCGCGCCCCCGAGCCCCGGCCGTGCGTGTATTTATATGTGTGTGTGTGTGTCTCGGTGGTGGTGGCTGGCGCGCGTGCGCGCGGGCAGGGGAGGGGCGCGCCGTACGGTCCTCCCGGCGCGCGCGCCCGCCGACGTGCGCGCGCCCGCGGCACGGGCACCGTATTTCGGTTCTTTGGGGGGGAGGCTGGTGTGTGTGTGGCGCCGCCCCCCCCCCCCCCCCCCGGTGGACGACGGACGAGAGCGGCGTCCGGGGCGCGTGCCCGCCTGCTCGCGCGCGCGCGCGATCTCTTCTCTCTCCCTCCCCACCTTTTTCCTCCTCTGTTTTGGGGGCGCGCGCGCGCGCGCCCCGCTGTTGGTTGGTGGTGCCGCCTCGAGAGCGCGCCGGACGCTTCTGAGACGAGGGGGGCGGCCGGCCGGCCGCTCCGGGCTGTGGGGCGGGGGGGGGGGGCGGGGGGAGGGTGGGGAGGGAGGTGGAGGAGGGCTGGGCCCTTCCTGCTCTTGGTGACGTCCCCGGACAGCCGTGGCCTAGGCCTGCGGGAGAAACCCAGCGGGCCTTTTGCTGTCTTGACCTGGCGGGCCAGGATTTGCACATTCTTCTTCTGGAGCAAAGGAAAAAACAAAAGCAAAATGCGGTTACCCCGAGGCTCAAGTACGGGGGTGGGTGCTCGGGGAGGGTTCTCCTGGGTTTCAGAAACCCAGTCCTTATGGGCCCGATTGGGCACTGGGGGGGGCCCCCACCCCTACCCCCACCCCACATCGGGTGTCCTCACCTTGCATTGGTGCTTTGTGCCGGGTAGGGAAGGTTAACTTAAGGGGCTTTCACTCTAGTACTTGGCTCTCCTTCCATCAGAAACCAGTTCTTCCATAAGCGCAATTCATACACGTCACCTCTGTGCGCTCCGGAAGGAGATCCTCAGATGCGGATGATAGGAAAAACTCTTGGGCTTTCAAATGCTACTTTAAATTCTTTTTTAAAAAAAATGCAGCTTCTTCCTATTTTTTTTTTTTTTTGATTGAGTGGATGGGAGTGGCCTTGTCAGTACCACTCAGGGCCTCATTGTTATCTCCGCCCAAAAGTTACCTAGAAACATTTGCTCAGCCTGAAAATCAGCGTTTTGTCTTTTCTATCTATGTGTAGATACATAATTTGAAAAGTGTCCAGTGGAAGTTACAAAAATTCGCCTGTGTGGTCTCTTTAAAAGCCCAAATGACTTAGATAATTTCCAGCTTTTTTTTTTTCTTCCCTATGATTCCTGGGCCCACCGCTGTGATTTGGTGCCTATGGAGTTCTAGGGTCTTTCTAGAGAAATAAGCACTTTTTTTTCCTCTTAAAGACAAAACATCCAATTTGTTTTACTTGCTTCATTAAGGTTGAGGAAGAGAAAGCTTTTAAAAAAGGGTAAAATTAGCAATCAAATTTGATCATGATGGGGGTAATTTTTTATCGATTGTATTTTTTAAAAAACAAAGTTAAAACTTAAGAGGCTGAGGATGGAAGGAACTTCTTTGTTCTATCTTCTTCAGAATGTTAGAAGTCTTGAGAACTCAGGACAAGCAAGCAGAAATACATGCAACATGGTGACTGGTGAGTCAATATCGTTCATATGCTGGAAGTATGTGTGCAGTTTTTTTTTTCCTGGTAATATTGAAACAGATCCTGTCAGTCATTCTGGATGTAGTCTGCCAGAAAATGTTAGGTGAGCTTGTTAGAAAACTGAAGATGTGAGAGACTGCATTTTTTTTTTTTTTGGTCAGTCGTCGGTCTTGAACTCTGGGCTTGGGCTCTGTCCCTGTGCTCTTCAGCTCAAGGTGAGCGCTCTACCACTTGAGCTATAGCACCACTTCTGGTTTTATAGAGGGGAGGTTATTGGAGATAAGAGTCTCACGAACTTTCCGGCCCGGCTTTGAACCGAGATCCTCAGATCTCAGCCTCCTGAGTAGCTAGGATTACAGGCGTGAGCCACCAGCGCCTGGCTGAGACTGCATTTTTGAGTCTAGCCAAAGTTTATTGCTTGGACAGTGTTTTCTATAGAGTACAGGTCAATGTCATAAGCAGATTTCTGTATAGCAGAGCATCAACTAAGGACCTAACTGGTTCTCCCAAAAAGCATTTAGGTTTTTCTAGGACATATTTGTGCTGTTAGTCCTACTTGTTTTGATTGAGATCTTTTAATTTTTATTTAATTTTATTTTAATTTTGTGGTAGTATGGGACTTAGACTCAGGGCCTGAGCACTTTCCCTGACCTTTTTCGATCAAGGCTGGTGCTCTACCATTTGATCCACAGCTCCAGTTCTAGCTTTTTGGTGGGTTCATTGGATTTTTCACCCTGGGCTAGTTTTTTTTTTTTTTTTTTTTTGGGTCCGGTCGTGGGGCCTGAACTCTGGGCCTAGGCGCTGTCCCTCAGCTCTTCAGCTCAAGGCTAGCGCTCTATCACTTGAGCCACAGCACCACTTCCGGCTTTTTTCTTTTTGCTTATGTGGTGCTGAGGAATCGAACCCAGGGCCTCGAGCATGCAAGGCAAGCGCTCTACCACTGAGCCACCTTCCCAGCCCCCCTGGGCTAGTTTTGAACCTTGATCCTCAGATGTCAGCCTCCCAGTTAGCTAGGATTGCAAGTGTGCCCAGTTACCAGCAGTGCCCAGCTTAAATTGGCTTTTGTCAATTGCATTTTCATAAGCTCACCAAGATTTACCTTTTAGCTATCTTCTTGTCCTTTATGATGAATGTGTATACTTTGCCAAGAACGAATACAGTTCCATCTCTCCTTACAAGCTTATGCTGCTATTTGAAACAAAAGATCAAATAGTAACTGACTTGTAAATTTGAATGGCTCTAGAAAGATAACCACAGGCAGAGTGAGATAGTCCTCCTTTCTGGAAGCTTAATAACCAGGGATGTCTTCCTTTAAGCTTGCATGCTTTCTCTTCATTTAGTCAGTTGTGGTTTGTGCGCTGCTTGCTTGTCTGCTGTTAAATAGCTACCCTTTATCTGTGAGGGTCTTTTGCTTGTCTGCTGTTAAATAGCTACCCTTTATCTGTGAGGGTCTTTTCATTTCAACCTTTGGCTTCAGAATGAGATGTTACATAAACACCTGTTCTCTTTTACTTTGTTGCCATGCATTATGTTCCAGATACTTTTCAGTCCTTTCCTTTAGGGTTCACACAAATGTTTTCCTTTGTTTGTTGGGTGGTTGTTTTTTCCTCCATAATGGTGGGCTGTGATTTCTGTGTGTGTGTGTGTTTGTATTTTCTGGTGTTGAGGATTAAACCTAAGGCCTAGTGTGCATGCTCAGCATGTGCTCTACCCCTGAGCTACTACCCAGCCCGGGATTGTGATTTCCCTTGTTAAGCCCAAGTGACTCCATGAGAAAAGGATCTTTTTTTTTTCCCTTTGCTGAAATGTTTGATCAAAATGTTCCTTTGGTCTCACAAAACAGGGCTTTTCTTTTTTTCTTTTT